GAGAGACCCTGTAACTACTAACTAGATGGAAGAAACATCATTGAGCACAGCATTGACGAAGTCAGAGGCTACGCGTCCACTTAGTTGGCTTCGAATCATTGTCGATTACATCAAGGTTTTTTCCTTTTCCATGTTTCATCTGGTGATGAAAAGTGCATTTCTCTTGAATTTTTTGAATATCTCTACTTTTTCAAACAAGTACATTGTTTCCAACAGAAATACTGTCAAAATGATGTTAGAAATTACCAGATGCCAAAGGCTAATACAAGGCACAGTTAGATTCTTACATGGGAATTTGCACAGGGAAGCTATTCCAGTTGCATGGGAGGAGCTGCAGTGGACTAAATTAAACCTTTATGGATCCTGAAAGGTAGATTAGGAAAAGCTGGTATTAAAGGTCTGTCGCTGAATTCTTACATGGCCATGCTGAATCCATTGGAAGAACAATGATTGTAGAAGTCAAAAATTGTTGGACTGATGTATGTCTTCAAGGAGATGCCAAGACATTGGTTGATATCACTGTGGAAAAGAGGCAAGACAAATGTAAATAAATTTATTTACATATAAAATTTATATATTATATTTAATATTTTTTTTTATTTTTATATAAAAATAAATAAATTTTAATTATTAAAAATAAAAAATAAAAAATAAAAATTTTATATAAATATTGATATGTGTAAATAAATTTTTTTGTCTTACAATTACATATATATATATATATATTATATAAATCTCCTACGTCATCGTGAAGCAAATCCGATGACATTACATTTTCCATGTTTTTTTTCGAAAAGTAAAAAAGGTATTTTATTTCTGTATTGTGAGTGCCAGTGGTGCTCTGGCCCTTAATAACGACGCACTTTTATTTACGAAGATCCTTTAAAATACAAGTGGTCATAGAAGGGATGGGAAAGCCTTTGGCTAATTAAGATATTTGCAATTCTGTTACAACTTCCTTCTGCTGCTGCAGTTTCTGTTCATGCAATTAGATGGGTTAAGGAACCAATCTGACAAGGAGGAAAAACAGCCTCCCCTTTTGCATTCTATCCAATTGAAGGCCCTAAGTTGTACCAGTTCCAGAAGCCTCCCCTTGACTACATCCTTCCCTGTAAAAATCTTCTCATTTCTGGCAAGCCATATTGTCCAAATAATTGCAAACCAAATGCATTCCCATCCCTCCTTCTTTTTCGTCATTTTAATTAAATTGGAGTGTTGCATAAATACCTTCCAACAATCTATACCCAGCACAGTACTGATTCCCCACCATTTGAAGCAATCTTTCCAAAGTTCATTAGCTAATTTACAGTGTATGAAAAGATGATTGCAGTCCTCAGTTTCCATGCCGCATAAAACACATTTGCAATCCTCAAGATCTTGAAAGATACCTCTTTTTAGCAAATTAAGTTTTGTGGGAATTTTGTCCTGCAACATTTGCCGTGAGAAAACTGAAAACTCCGAAGTGCGTCAAGTTTATGACTCGAAAAATACAGCAAACAAACACGGCATCTCCATTCCCTACACGAGCACCGTTTCCGTGTTGGTATGCCCTCTTCTTCTTCTTCTCCATTTTTTCATACTACTGTACGTAATTTTTGAACCAAGACACTGCAGGCAGTTGAATCCAG